TTATATGAAGAACACGGTAGGCATAGGAGGTAGATAAATAACTTAGATTTCATGGCACAATTACAAATGAAAACCTTTATTCGAAGAAAATTGAAAAAAATGTATCTCTCATTTTGTGTTTCCGGCGGGAATCGAACCCGCGTCTTCAGCTTTTCAGGCTGATGTCCTTACCTCCTAGACTAAAAAATAAAATTTGGTTGTTTTCAAAAGACTAAATTGTAAGTAGCTCATTTTAAGAAGGTAGATATTTTAACACTGTCAAATTTAATAAGGCAAAGAATTGTAGTTTTGCCTACTAAAAATGATGAAATTTTTTAAATAAAAAAAGGAAGCCCATTCATGGATAATAATAAGTTATTATGTATCTCACATAAGTTTTAACACACAATTTTTCATATATCTTTCTTAATTCTTTATTTTATTAGATTTGTTAATGCAAGCACAACATCGCCTTTATTTTCACGAAGAGCTTTTTCAGCTGTTGTTGCTGACACTTCCAATTCTGTCATAATTAGTTCCAAATGTTCCTTTTTAACTTGAATTTTCTGAAGTTCATGTTCTTTTGCTAACTTCTCTTCATGTTCTTTGTTACGCTTATCTGCAAAAAGATTCACAGCCTGTATATTCGTAAAAAAATGATTATAAGAAAACGAGGTTAAAAAGAAAATCATATTTTCATTACATTTGAAATATCTTTTGAAATTTCAGATTCTTCTGTCCAGTCAGTAACTCTTTCTAGATCTAGGTCAATAACTTTTTCAGCTACTTTTATTAGATTTTTTAATGCAAGCACAACATCGCCTTTACTTTCACGAAGAGCTTTTTCACCTGTTGTAGTTGACACTTCCAATTCTGTCATAACTAGTTCCAAATGTTCCTTTTTAACTTGAATTTTCTGAAGTTCATGTTCTTTTGCTAACTTCTCTTCATGTTCTTTGTTACGCTTATCTGCAAAAAGATTCACAGCCTGTATATTCGTAAAAAAATGATTATAATTTAAGAAAACGAGGTTAAAAAGAAAATCATAGGTATTTTCATTACATTTGAAATATCTTTTGAAATTTCAGATTCTTCTGTCCAGTCAGTAACTCTTTCTAGATCTGCAGCTCCACTGTCATGTTTCTTCTGCTTTCTGTCTTGAACATCATCTTGTCCATTTACACTTTCAGTATTAGACATGGATTTTTTTTAAAAGCTTAATCGAGTTTAAATTAAATGAAATATTGAAAAGTTAGCATATAAACAAAAGCAATTCAGTTGAACAGTTTGTGTCTGAATGTTAAAATTTACCCCTACAAGCCGCAATATTCAGAGGGGTCAACAATTTTTGTAAACAAACGTGAATAATAAAATTTTTATTTATTCATACTCAAGCAAAATTCAGATACATTTAAATACTTCTATGTATACAATGGCCATTAGATATTTTTCAAAGATTAAAATTCTAAATAATTTAATGAGAAGATCATATCCCCTTTTTATTAGTGCTGCGGAAACAAAGACTATGTCATTGAAAAACCTGAATTTTAATATGAATTATGCTTTACATAGTGTTTACAGATTTAAATATGACTATCCTTCAAAATCTTCCCCATCGAGTGAAAAACCAGAAGTGAGTCATTATTACACATTTTATCTGAATGATATAAAATTGATTGCTTTTTAGGATTCAGACACAGATGAAGAAATAGATGAAATTGACAAGAAACATATTATAAAGATTAAAGTACAATCTATGAGAGTAGATCTGGTATTAAGATCATCATTAGGGATTGCCAGAAACAAGATAGAAGCAGCGTTTTACGAGAATCGAATAAGGAAAAATGGAAAAAAAATTGCGAAAAAATCCGTTTCTTGCTTCGAAGGAGATGAGATAGATGTTATAAAAATGACTGAAGGTCTCGCTAATCCTAATAACATAATGGTAACCAGAATAGAAATTTTAGAAATTAATGCTAAAGAAGATTCAATTTTAGTAACTGTGAAGAGATTTAAAAATCTTACAGTAGAAAAGTATAAAGATTAAAAATTTTGCGGTGTTCTTCGGTTTTTTTCTTACATTAAATTCAAATTTTCCGCCATTTTCTTAATTACTGCCCCTGTGAAATTCCTATATCTTTGATGTGAGGAAAAAAAAATCAAAAAAGTTGAAAAAATAAATAAATAATAGAGTAAAATGAAATGCCCTGGTTTATATTGTGGCCGAATGCCATTAGAAAACAATACATTTAGCGAATGTGGGGCCTGCGATAGAGGATGGAAACGAAATGAAGAGCATCTGTGTGAGCCTTGCTACGATAACTTAGTTCTATATGATTGGTTGTTTCTTGCTTTTGCAATTATCGTTCCGCTCTTGATTCATTCATTTCTCATTGATTACACTACGCAACAAAGAAAGTAAGTTATCATTTGTTAGATATATCAAACTAAGAATATAATTACATTTTTCTAGATTTTCCAAAGAAATTATTTTTCTGTATTTATGTGCAGTTGCTGAAGTTGGAATTTCTGCAATATTGACAGTACTTTTAAGTGAACCAATGTTAAGTTTTAAGATATATTCTTGTGGTGTTAATTCGTTGAGTGATTGGTACACATATTTCTATAATCCGACTTTACGCTTCGAAAAAACTCTGACATGTACACAAGAGCGAGTTTATCCACTGCAGACCATGGTTTTAGTGTTTTATGTGCTTTGCGTGTCTTTTATGCTTCTATTTCGACCTCTTATGAATGAAAAATGCAAACCTAAAATTGAGAAGTCATCTTTAGCAATATATTATGCTCTTTATGCTTTTCCATTGCTCGCCATAATTCATTCAATTTTTGGAGGATTAGTTTACTTTGCCTTTCCATATCTAAGCATAATTATTTCATGTGCAGCTAATGCAGGGCACTTTGCTATGAAGCTTGATCAATCAATGAAAAGTCTATTCATCACCTCTATAATGGATATTAGAAATATCATAATTATAGGTACATATATTATTTTTTCAATTTTAATGCTATTTCATTAATTCATTTATATTTGTCCCTTTTAGTTGGAAATTGGATCCTATTTTCATTTGGAATTATTTCGATCAAAAAGCTTTTCTTGCTATTTCTAACACCAGTTCCTTCAATATTTTATATTGTAACATCTAAATACACCTCACCTGAAATATATTAAATTGAGTTGTGTTTGTAAATTTCAAATGAGAAAAATAAAAATGAAACTTTCAGTTAGATAAAAAATCTATTTTTTCTTTTACGATTTCACTTCATTCATAAAAAAATCCTAATAAATTTAGGATAGTATAGAAAAAAAACCACTTAAATTAGTGAAATTTGAGAATAAAATTACCAAAATAACATCCAAGAAATAATCTGTATTCAAGATTTGAACTGCAGTTCCTTGAGAAATTGGAACAAAACCCTCTTGATACAACATTTTTCCCTTGCTACAACAGTTTTTCTCTGATCCCTTCAACTATTATTATGCCACGGTTTCACCGTATCACTTTTGCTTGCCCCCATTTTCCCTCATCAACAGCAGCAACCGTGAGCAATTGCTGCAGCATACTTTCGCCTAGAGATTATTACATTGAACTCTTGATATAACATTCTTTCGATAAGAAATTTCAATCGATAATAAATTTTATCTGGGTCGAAACGAAATCTAGAACAAAATTTCATCGATAGGAAATTTCACTCGTTATAAAATCCTTTTTCCCTGTCCCCTGAGCGAATGTTGTATCGAAAGTTGCCTATTCTTCAAATACCTAGTAATATTCACTATTTAATGTTTGGTTAGGCATTCACGTTTTTTAAATGCATCATCCTGAAAAATGAAATAAATTAAAAAAAACGTTGTAGAAAAACAAAAATTTCAATTAAAATTT